CTTGGAAGCGGGTTTGTCCGGTGAATATTCGGTGAAGGCTTTGGTGTGTTTTGTTGATATTTCACAGGCGCGAGCTTTTTATATGTTATTACAGTAGATTACCGATTTAACTGTTTATATAATTTCATTTGTCTATTTCACCACACGTTCTTCTTACCGAGTCACTTTCTCAGTTCGATACTTAAAAGCAATGTCATTATTTAGCGTTGACAGAATTTCTAACTGTGATATAGATATGTCGTTGTCACAGACAAAACTCAACGTCTGTTTTATTGACACCTATGTGTCTGCCTGCCTGTCTGCTAATGACCATATTCAATACACAACTGCGATCACTGACCACATGCAATTTGAACTTAACACCAATCAGGCTATACACCATAAACAAAATGCATTGATTTATGGCCCGAGTTCGGTCTCTGTCACATTATGTAATTACACAGACAGGCAGGTGTGATACTTGTACACATGACATGTTATGATGTCTGTTGATTGCACAATGTTATACACAAAAAATGAGCATGTATTTACAAAACCCAACATCTCTATATATACACACACAATGAGCCGTGAGGGAATCTGCAAATGAACCAGCCGTTACACTTGAGTGCACACCCACCCGCTCTGACTGGGTTCGGTATCCCGGCTGCTTCGTTTCTTGGGAAGTAAACCGAAGTACACAATATTGCACTTTTGATTTGCGATTGTACGCTTATAATTTTGTTTATATGATGTTTCATAACCAGCAATGTATATTATATGTCATGAATAAGTGATAATTGTGTTTTAATTATGTTTGATTTTTGTGGTTGCATGTGACCTTTAATTAAGCACCCCTGTATTTTTGCAATGATAGGTTTTAAACACTACATTAAACTTGGCGTGGTGACCTGACGGCTCGAGCGTTGAAATCCATATCACCCTTGAGGAGGGTGCTAACGTATACGTACCTTAATTTCTTACAAGTTACCGGCCTTTAACTTTCACACGACCTCTGTTATTTTTAGCATTTCTGCATTTTCGACATGTCCTCTAGAACTACTAAGCATACAGGAGCTGAAACTTCGGATATACGATAGATCTATAATCATTGCCGCCATGTCTAAAATGTTTTTTGTCGGATGCATGCATATGTCGGCCATGTGATGAACAATAAGTCTCTGAAAATTGATATTTTTGATAGAAAAAAAGAACTTTATCCGAACTAGGAGATTTTAGACGCTTCATTTAGGACATTTGCATTACAGTAAGAGCTGGATGGAAGGGTAAAATGATATGGTTCAGGGTCTGTGAGACAGACCAGGGTTGGAGTTGAAGGCTGGTTTTATAGCACTTGTCCCCTGAAATTCTATGCTGCAGTGATTTTAATGTGCTCTCAGACCTTTGGGTATTCCGGGTAAGGATACGGGTCTCCGTCAACCTCTGCTGTGGACTGGGAGGTCACATGGTTGATGGTGGGTCATCGTATCCCATTTACAATGCTAATGAGGCCAATCACTTGATTATCTGGTTCAGACTTCATAAGTTACACAGACTCACATGCACGGACGCACGCACGCACGCACGCACTCAAATACCATTCTCTTACAATATATTCTTTGCAACTACCTGACTAATACTGCTGAAATATGACAGGCATGTTCTTTTCATGAAGGCATCATATTTTTTCGAATCATCGTGATTATGATTATACTTTGAAAAATGAAACCTTACCTTACAGATATCTTACAATCTAATTCTTAAAAGCTCCCCAAAAACATAAACTTTGTGTGAATGACACTGAAAATTCAAGGCTGATGAAGGAACACAATGTTACAAAAATATTGATTTGTATCTTACACCGTTATCGCCAGCATTGTGTTTCCTCAAAACTCAGGTTAGCTGCTGGCACACGTGTCTCGCTTTGGACACACCCGTGAAGATCCGGGTTAGAATTGATCTTTGGTAACCCATGCTTGTCGTAAGAAGCGACTAACGGGATCGGGTGGTCAGACTTACTGACTTGGTTGACACATGTCATCGTATCCCAATTGCGTAGATCGATGCTCATGCTGTTGATCACTGGGTTGTCTGGTCCAGACTCGATTATTTAAAGACTGCCGCAATATAGTGGGTGAGTGAGTTTAGTTTTATACCGCACTCAGCAATATTCCAGCTATATGGCGGCGGTCTGTAAATAATAGAGTCTGGACCAGACAATCCAGTGATCAACAACATGAGTATCGATCTACGCAATTGGGCTACGATGACATGTCAGCGAGTATGACTCATGAATCAGAAAGGTCCATTACCACACCAATGTCGGTGGTTCTTTCTATCAAAACCTAGTTTGTATATTACCCACAGGGATAAAGATGCAGTTATTTTCATTCATTCATTACTTTCATGTATAATGTGTAACTTCTTTGAGTGGCACCTTAGAAGCTTAGGTTCTCTCTCTCAAAGACTGACTGACTGAGTTTAGTTTTACGCCGCTTTTAGCAATATTCCAGCAACATCACGGCGGGGGACACCATAAATGGGCTTCACACATCGTGCCCATGTGAGGAATCGAACCCGGGTCTTCGACATGACGAGCCAACGCTTTAACCACTAGGCTACCCCACCGCCCCCCTCTCTCAAAGAACCATGTTGATGATGATGATGATGATGATGATGATGATGATGATGATGATGAAGGTGAAGAGAGAGATACACGACTTATGATGTGGAGGCTGCCTATATGCATCATGTTGAAATCACTTCAAAACAGAATTAAATGAAAAAGATGTTTAATTCAAAATTGTACAATATACACGTTTCGTGAACGATCGTCGGAAACACTGGCTAAGATCTACCATTACATTTTTTTAATTAGATCAGTCGTTTAGCAGTTCCAAATATATATAACCATGTATATAACACATAGTATTTGTTTCATTTACCTTTCAACCATCCCCGGTGATGCAGGGTTTTATATACCGCTAAAGTGAGTGAGTGAATTTAGTTTTACGCCGCTTTTATCAATATTCCAGCAATATCACGGCTGGGGACACCGGAAATGGGCTTCACACATTGTACCCTTAATTATAGGAAATCGAACCCTGGGTCTTCGGCGTGACGAGCGAACGCTTTAACCACTAGGCTACCCCACCGCCCTGTACCATTAAAGAAGGATCGACCGATTTTTTCATATTACTGCAGATAATCTGCCATGCCGGTCGGACAGCTATGTCGTTGTCGATGCTATGACAGATGAAATGTAGTCTTTGAAGGGCATTTAGAAGTGATACACATAAAGACAAGAATTTTATGGATGTCAATTTCCTTATTATGATGGACACGACGTTTCGGAGTATATTCTTACTCCTTCATCAGGTGAATGAAGAAGTCAGAATATACATCGAAACGTCGTGACCCGTCACAATAAAGACTGACTGACTGAGTTTGGTTTTACGCCGCTTTTAGCAATATTCCAGCAACATCACGGCGGGGACACCAGAAATGGGCTTCACACATTGTACCCATGTGGGGATTCGAACCCGGGTCTTCGGCGTGACGAGCCAACGCTTTAACCACTCGGCTACCCCACCGCCCTCACAATAAAGAAGTTGACATCAGACAGACATCCATAAAATTCTTGCCTGTTGATGAAATATAGCAATTTGAAACATTTCGGGGTTGTTAAATTCTTTGAGCTGTATATCTCCACTCTATTATCACAATACCCTGTATTATCGAAAAAGAAACAAAATACGCAAACATTTTTGTTTTAATTATTTTTGAAGCGTACATTATATTGATTGGACGGATTCTTTTTATAACAAGTTTTAAATAATTGTCTCGATGTTGTGTGACATGTTTCAGTGTGATCAACTCTAATGCACGTACAAATCTTGCTAGATATTACACACACGTATGTCCTAGTATATAACAAAGTTACACAATAACAATAAAACAGTAAACACAAGTCAAATGTTTCCATAAATATCACAGAATATTTGTTCACATTGTAAGTTGTAAATCCACCATTGCACACAAAACATAAAAACAGTAAATGACAAATACACAGCAGCATTAGAGATATCGTAGTCGGTGTCGACGAGGTGGTGTTGCTTGGGGATGTTCACGGTGTGTGTGTGTGTGTGTGTGTGTGTGTGTGTGTGTGTGTGTGTGTGTGTGTGTGTGTGTGTGTGTGTGTGTGTCTGTGTGTCTGTGTGTCTGTGAGCGTGTGTGCCGGCGTTTATCATGGCCTGACCTGCAAAGTCTTTTTGCTTCGACCTAAGTGAGTGAGTGAGTGAGTTTAGTCTTACGCCGCTGTTTTAGCAATATTCCAGCAATATCTCGGCGGGGGACACCAGAAATGAGCTTCACACAAAGTACCCACGTGGGGAATCGAACCCGGGTTTTCAGCGTGACGAGCGAACGCTTTAACCACTAGACTACCCCACCGCCCCTGCTTCGACTGCATGAAGACACTTGTGGATGTTCTATCGGCAAGTGGTTGTTGTCCCATCGATTATATAGATCGCTTCAGTTCAGCCTCAAATTAACCATTGTTTCCTTGTCTATTATGTCCTTGTCATATATTATATATTTCTTTACATATATTAAGATAACTGTCTTTCTTGGACTTAATTCTAATTTGAAACCCATTTTTTACACCTGGAACGGCCGTTGCAGCCACATTACTATACCTGAATTTCCCATCCCACACCGTTGCCATCTAAATGCCAACACCGTCCTCCTGTCAACCCCGATTCCTTGCCCTCGTAACCCCGATTCAGGCCTACAGTGATCCAAGACCCAAATCAAAATGTATTATATTCCAATTAAGACATTCCGCAAGTAGTTGACCGACGATAATCATTATATATTGATCGGTTTTCAAATATTTCACCCGACGGTGGAGCAGCAGTCATCAATCCAGAATTTGAGTGATACCCCATTATCATCGGGCTGTGGGACACAGGCTCCCAATATCAGTAGCGACCTATAGGTATTAATGAGTCTATGTTTACTTGGTTCGCATGGCTGCACGCAACCTCTCTCTACAAAACATATGGAATTCTCTGTAGACCAACTATACATCAAATGCTTTGTTCGAGTAGAACAATCAATACAATTGTCAGTCTGAAGATAAATATTTGATGAGCTTCGATACGACTCATCTTGATCGAATGCCGTTAATTGAACATACAGGAAATAAGATGACAATCAACTAGGGGACTTTTAGCACTGTTGTCTGGGGTAAGGCCATTTTGGGAAACGTTGAAGTAAACTTGCACGTCACATTTGAAACACGACGTACTTTTGAGGGCATACTTAAAGTTCAGAACATACAAAACAGCAGCTTTCACGTCACATATAGAAAAGGGTTGACAATGTACCATAAATACAAACAAATAAACATATAATTATACAATCTAAAAGCAAGAAAAATGTACATAATCTCATAAAAATATACATCTGAAGGCCCCCGTAGGCAGACACCTGAAATACATGTAGTTTCCAAATACAGCAGTTTTAGTATCAGCAATTTGTCTGAGAGGACATCAGATTTCTTTCATTTTCAGGGGTTCTTTTCTATGTATAAATTAAGGCATCTTCACCAAATATTATTTTCAAAAACACGCAGTTACGTAACTCGTTGGTGTCTACGCCAATTTCCTCCCCATAAAATTAAAACATGAGTTTACATACACGTTATCCAGATACAGAATATTAATTTTCCAAATTATTTTCGATTTGGTGAATAAAAGCATTGCATTCCAAAACTGCCAAAAATAGCATTCCCTCGTTGGTATCTACGCCAATGTCTCACCCATAAAATTAAGAAATGAATTTATTTTACACGTTATCCACATATAGGGGGTTCTTTTCCAAAATATTTTCGATATTGGGAATAAAAACATTTGACTCTTGAATGCCATGCAGGGTAAAATGGCATCCCCTGGTATCTACGCCAGTTTCTTCCCCATAAGATTGAAACATGAATTTATATTACACTTTCTCCACATTTAGGATATTGTTTCCAAATTATTTTCGATATTGGGGTTAAGAACATTTGACTCTTGAATGCCATGCAAGGTAAAATGTGACCAAAATGGACGTTCGCCTGTACATCCGAAATCCGCAACATCCAGCTGACATCTTGTTCATGGCGATGGTCGAAGATGGTGGTCTTGGACTTCAGTTTGAAGAGTAGGGGGGTGGAGGGACTGTCCCGGAACCATCTGGGGTCTGGACTTTACCCCCCTGGTCACCATACAGAAGCTGTTGATCCGGAGGGACGTACATCGGAGGGGGGTAGTTGGGGTGTGTCTGGTACCCAGGGGGTGGACGTGGAATCGGCCCCTTGTAGCTGTCTTGGTAGTAATCTACGTAGGGGTGGCCCGGGTAGGCTGGTGGGCCTTCTGCAAAACATGTCATATCGTTAGTTATGGTGTCTTTAGTAGCTTTGCACGGCGTCATAGTACGTAAACAGAATAGTATTGTGCGAGGACACATCTTGCTTTAAAGGCTTATTATATGTACCAGTGAGTGAGTGAGTTTAGTTTACGCCGCTTTTAGCAATATTCCAGCAATTCCAGCGAGGGACACCATCTTAACAACTATGCTCCCCACATGGGTACAATGTGTGAAGTCCATTTCTGGTGTCCCCCGGTGAGATATTGCTGGAATATTGCTATAAGCGGCATAAAACCCAACTCACTCACTAACATCTATGGTAGGGCTGCTAGGGGATGTTCCATGATCGAATTTAGCGCTAAGGCGATCACAACTCCCGGTCTTAACATTCACTTCCAGTAGTCTAAAAACGAAAAGAGGAATGATCGCTTTGTGGGACCAGTGGCAGATCGAAAACGAGGCTCATAGGTAAAGTGTCGGTCAAGAAAAGACATCTATTTTCGTTTGAAGTCTTAAATACGTATTTAGAGCTCCGATGCTAAAAAGATCATACATGCCAATCGATATGAATATGTTTGTCTGACACTTACTAGCTTGTGACACAATGTTGACCTGCTCGTTCTGTCTGGGCTGGAGACGGCGTCTGTTGCGAGTCTGCTGTTTGATGCAGCAGACGATGATTGCGATGATGGTGGCAACGAGGATGACGCACCCGATGCCGATGCCGACTATCATGGAGAGAGGGTCACAACATTTCTGGTCGTTGGTACTCCCACAACATCCATACTCGCAGTTGTAGGAATGCCCCTTTATCTTTGAGTAGCACGACTCCTCGCCAAGACCAAGTACCAGGTCTGAAAGCGAAAAATGGATTTTATATCTACAAAAGACAATTACGCACAAAAGTAATTATCTTTAATTAATTACTTAATTTGACTGGTACATCTTTTCTTGTATATTACATATAAAGTGAAGAAGATGAGGAAGCCATACACGAGTTTATTCGCAACAGCGTAACATGGTAAGGCCGTAACAAAGTGAACCGCAACAACGTAAAACCTTATGTTCGTAATGTTCACCGTCAGGCCGTAACAAGGTAACATGGTAAGGCCGTAACAACATAACACCGTAAGGCCGTAACAACATAACACCGTCAGGGCGTAACAACGTAACACCGTAAGGCCGTAACAATATAACACCGTCAGGCCTTAACAACATAACACCGTCAGGCCGTAACAAGGTAATACCATCAGGCCGTAGCAGCGTAACACCGTAAGGCCGTAACAACATAACGCCGTAAGGCCGTCAGAACGTAACACCGTCAGGCCGTTACAACATAAAACCGTAAGGCAGTCACAACGTAACATCGTAAGGCCGTCACAGCATAACACCGTAAGGCCGTCACAACATAACACCGTAAGGCAGTCACAACGTAACATCGTAAGGCCGTCACAGCATAACACCGTCAGGCCGTCACAACATAAAACCGTAAGGCAGTCACAACGTAACATCGTAAGGCCGTCACAGCATAACGCCGTAAGGCCGTCACAACATAACACCGTAAGGCAGTCACAACGTAACATCGTAAGGCCGTCACAGCATAACACCGTCAGGCCGTAACAACATAGTACCGTAAGGCCGTAACACCGTAAGGCCGTAACACCGTCAGGCCGTAACAACATAACACCGTCAGGCCGTAACAACATAACGCCGTAAGGTCGTCACAACGTACCACCGTAAGGCCGTCCCAACCAAACACCGTCAGGCCGTAACAACATAACACCGACAGGCCGTAACAACATAACACCGTCAGGCCGTAACAACAGGCCGTAACAACATAACGCCGTCAGGCCGTAACAACATAATGCCGTAAGGCCGTCACAACATAACACCGTCAGGCCGTAACAACATAGTACCGTAAGGCCGTAACAACATAACGTCATAAGGCCGTCACAACATAACGCCGTAAGGCCGTAACAACGTAACACTGTAATGCCGTAACAACATAGTACCGTAAGGCCGAAACAACGTAACACTGTAAAGCCATAATTAGAGAATAACCCACGAGGTACGAGGGATAACAGGAAATATGTCCCACGTGAAATTAATGTTCACAGTCCCGAGCTTTAGCGAGGGACTTGAACATTAATTTCACGAGGGACACATTAATTTCACGAGGGACACTCTATTTATTACCCATTCTGAAATTAAACCGAGAAACCAGTATTATGAACTCAAAGCCGAATCTTCTTATGTAAGTGTTTACAACTAGATCGGCTGATTTATATTAATGCGCGGATGAACTGCTCAAGCAAACATGTCATGTTTTTTTAACGTTTACTTATAAAACAGTGAACAATAAAATGCAGGGACGGTGAACCTTTTTTCAAGAATACGGTACACAATTATGAACGTTTGTCAACATTTTGCTGAAACGAGCTGTGACCTAATTTTGGCTCGCGTCAGTGGCCTTGTCAGGGACGATAACTCTAAATTTAGTCCGAGTCCGAGTCGACAAGTTTTCGTTCGAATCCCAAACGTTGTCAATGTCATGGTCAAAAACAGGTACAAACATGTCAAACGTTGTTTTGTTTTTTCGATTGGGGGTACAAAAATTCATCTTGCAGTAAGTCATTTATGACGCTCTCATGCAAGTTGGGACTTTGGCGCCATGCCGACTCGCTCGATATCGTTTCCGGCAACACTTTCAGTCTATACCTTGCAACTTCCATTTCACCATATATTCAAGTGATTGTATTATTTAAAAAGATATTTCATGGGATCTCCTCAATCGTAGGGGTAATAACAGGGTAACACCGTCAGGCCGTAATAACGTAACACCCGCAGAACTCTATGTGAATCCCATTTTAGTGTCGCCTGTTGTTGCTGGCACAGGGGCTTGTAACGCTAAAAACTGCCATCAAAGTATATACTGTCACTGACGGAGTCTTAGTACTATATAAAAGGGAAGGGATGTAACGAGGTCAACACACCAGGTTCGTTTCAGGGCGAATTCAACAATGCTCACTGTATTTATCCAATTTAAAGTTGCACACATTTCAAGCCAATAGATTTACCTACACAATGAGACATACAACACAAAAATCGAAACAGTACTTTTGGACACAATTCTGTTTGCGATGAATAAATGTACGTAAACTCATTATGACAGTGAGATGTAAGTGTCTCCGAAAGAATGGCGACTAGCGCGCTGAAAGACGCCATCAGTTCAACATGTTTTGATGCATGTCGTTTGTGTATACTGTGAAATAAACAAGAAAAAGGGTGAACTCCCGCTACAAATTCTGAGCAGCTAGGGATTTTGGCTCGGAATCGAGAAATCACGATTTTTCGAGCTTCCGAAGACCCTAGCTCCCAAAGTACTGTTTCGATTTTTGTGCTGTATGTCTCATTTTGTAGGTAAATCTCAGTACCCGGCCCCTTTATGGTCATGTGACTAATAGATTAAACAATGTAATATGTTATTCTTTCATGATTAAAATGTTGTATTGTCATTGAAGATTTTAGACATAATTACAGTCATTTCTTTTGAATATAATATTTGGTTAAGATGTTGAAAAACTCGAAATATTAATCTCCGAGCTGAAAAATATATTGCGATTACTTACAAATTTGATGTCAGGGATTAACATAACGGGTATCCGGGTAGGGTAGGGTAATAGGGGTGGGATACCGGGTAGAAAACCTGGACCCGTCCCCGCCCCTAGCATTTATATCACTTGCATTGTGTGACGAGTGATCATGGACAGACCCTGGGTCAGTGAGTCAGGTTTGAAAGAGTTTTGAACTTCATCTCAGTTACATCACCGCATGTCAGCTTGATAAGGTCTCAGAGACCCACAGACACGGGTATAGTGACGACAAACTTGGAAACATACCCAGGGCTAATCTGAGATTCACCCCCACGACTACGGGACGCGAAGCGAACGAATTGCCTTGACTTTAAAGATCGCACCGCCCATGCACCTTCTAAAGAAAACTGGAATAGAATATTTACATGCTTGTGAAACACCCCATCCACATGTGAGTGAGTGGGTATGGTTTTACTTCGCTTTTAGCAATATTACAGCAATATCACGAACCCTGGTCTTCGGCGTGACGAGCGAACGCTTTAATCACTAGGTTAGCCCACCGCCCCCTATCTACATGTAAACCCCTTGTACAGTTAGAAGCTTGTTGTACCAGCTCATATAGACACAGACCAGATGGCGTTAGATATAAATGTTTGTTTGTTGTGTAACCGCACTCAGCAATATTCTGTGAGACAGGCCAGCCTGTCTTATCATCTGTGATTAATTGATTGGTTGTTCTTTAACGCTGCACTCAGCAATATTCCAGCTATATGACGGCGGTCTGTAATTAATCGAGTCTGGACCAGACATTCCAGTGATCAATAGCATGAGCATCGATGTACTCGTTGGGATACGATGACATGTGTCAACCAAGTCAGCAAGCCTGATAAAAATGAATGTCGTCACATAGCTTTGATACAGTGTGTGAACACTATACTAGTTGCTCTCCTGCCAGGTACAGATCGATTCGCAGGGACAAATCAGTTACTGATTGCGCATGCGTGAGATCAATTAAGTGTGTTCCATCATATCCAGCAGCTCCACTGCCTTTGTACTGTGCAAGCGGAACTGTAAGTCTTTGTCTGAAAGGCTACAGATGGGACTTATTCAAAATAGCATTCTGTTACCAATCTTACACAATCGTCTACATGTTCAAAGTGACTATAACAAAAGTTTGGGTTTGGCCACTGAGTGAGTGAGTTTGGTTGTACGTCGCTTTTAGCAATATTCCAGCAATAGCACTGCGTGGTATAGAAGGAATGGGCTTCACACATTGTGCCCAAGTGGCTACCGAACGCTTTAACCACTACGCTACCTCATTATAACAACATCATATCTCACACTGGATGAGCAATGTGGAGGAAATATACCTTTAGGAAATAACGATTTCGCGGCATTAAGTAGGAAAGTGTAAACTTGAAAGCATAGTCTGGAATAGAATTTATTTGTTTAAATGCAACGTGACTTTTCAAGGACAAAGGAGCGTTACATGTAGGTTATACGAGTGCGTACGGTTTTACACCGCTTTTAGCAATATTCCAACAATATCACGGTAGGGGACAGCACAAATACCGTTGTACCCATGTGGGGAATGGAACCCCGATCTTCGGTGTTACGAGCGAAAGCTTTACCCAGTACGCTATCCCACCGCCCCTCTGTTAAACAGCAAAAATAATCATAAATACTTATTCTTCGGGTCAATCCCATTATGATAAATAAAAGGGGCGGTGGGGTAGCCTAGTGGTTAAAGCGTTCGCTTGTCACGCCGAAGACCCGGGTTCGATTCCCCACATGGGTACATTGTGTGAATCCCATTTCTGGTGTCCCCCGCCGTGATATTGCTGGAATATTGCTAAAAGCGGCGTAAAACCATACTCACTCACTCACTCACTATGATAAATAAACAGTTACTTTTGCTTACAAGTATACATATCATGCGAGACAATGGCAATGTCCATGGCAATTCGTTCCCTTGCTTACACCTTACAACATGTTTTGCTCTTAGGAATATCCCCAACCTTTGACAATCACCACAATACAACTCTCTGTTGTTGAACTACGATTCATTAACACTTTCCAGTGAAATACAATATACTAGTTATAGTATACCACACAGAGACCCGGAACAAATGGAATACAGGTTGCTTGGCGATGTCGCAGTCGTCAGCGGGGCCTATTGTATGGCATTGTGTCCATATAACAAGCATAAAGTGTATGTGGATGTGTTGACAAACAGTCTTGTCTTTGTCAGCGTAGCCGTACCATGAATAATGAAACAGGACACAAAGTTCAGTCGACTGGAGATCAACATGCGACTTACAGCGATCGACTCATTTATATTGCGCGTCAATATACTGCTTTGCGTGCAGGTCAAGAGTGAGTGAGTTTAGTTTTACGCCGCTTTTAACGACTGACTGACTGACTTAGGTTTTACGCCGCTTTTAGCAATATTCCAGCAACATCACGGCGGGGGACACCAGAAATGGGCTTCACACATTGTACCAATGTGGGGATTCGAACCCGGGTCTTCAGCGTTACGAGCCAACGCTTTAACCACTAGGCTACCCCCCCGCCCCCAGCTTTTAACCAGTGAGTGAGTTTAGTTTTACGCCGCACTCAGCAATATTCGAGCTATATGGCGGCGGTCTGTAAATAATCGAATCTGGACCAGACAATCCAGTGATCAACAGCATGAGCATTGATCTGCTCAGTTGGGAACCGATACCATGTGTCAACCAAGTCAGCGAGCCTGACCACCCGATCCCCTTTGTCGCCTCTTACGACAAGCATGGATTATTGAAGATCGATTGTAACCCGGATCTTCACGGGTCCGCTTTTAGCAATATTCCAGCAATATTACGACACCAGAAATTGGCTTCACACCTTGGCAGGTCATAAGACTTAACCGTACATGTGCATTTTGTCAAAACTCTGGGGAATGGGTTCCACAGTGATCTGAGATGTAGGGACTGTGAAGGAGCCTCTGTAGTGGTTTCTATCTAAGACTGACCATGATCCGTGTAAGTACCACCACGTGCTTTTTGGCAGGCTTACATAAAAGACTGTTCCAAACAGACTTCACAATGTACGTACATGACTGTTACTACAATGAATAGCTACATGAAAACACGGAGGACGATGAGGTCTCTATTTGTCAAATATTAGTTCTATATGTTACCGAGTCTGTCAGTGAGTTGGCTTCACCGCCGTATTTTGATAGCATATCATACCCGTAAGCACGACATGGTGTTGGCACTATTGGGGCTAATCTGGGGGAACGATCATTAATGGTTTCCTGACACGACTACGCGACGCATGAGTGAGTGAGATGCGGTTTAACGCTGATTGTACATTATTCCAGTTCTTTCACTGCCGGTGTCTGACGTTTACGTCATTGGTTATACTCTGGAGTACACATGTGAACAGGGGCAAACCGGGCTTCGAACTCATTATAGGTGTCAGGCGTCCGCATCTACTTTTTATTGTACACGAAATGACATTCCAGGACTCGTCGCCTGTATTCACGAAGACGTTTAAGATCGATATTGCATAAAGGCGTCACATCACTTGTAACATGCATAAGGACGTCACATCACTTGTGACATGCATAAGGACGTCACATCACTTGTGACATGCATAAGGATGTCACATAAGTTGTGACATGCATAAAGACGTCACATCACTTGTGACATGCATAAGGACGTCACATCACTTTGGCGTGACGAGCCAACGCTTTAACCACTAGGCTACCCCACCGCCCGACTATATAACAAACTTCAAATACATATTGGAAATATAATAATTGCCACACATCGATATCGTACTAAAGTGCAAAGTTACATACGGGAGCATGGGGAATGTCACATTTAAATGATGGAAAACTTTCTCATTTTAATCAACATTGCGAGACGGGTGCAAATGTTTGACAACTAACCTTTTACGATCAGTTCACTATTGTCCTTACAAAGATTTGTTCTCAGTTCAAGAGATAATTTCTACTATGATCAAGCCTCTGACTTATGGCGCTTTGTTTACCATATGTTCCAGCTGACTTTATCTTCATCTTCTAAGACAATCAACTTGGTTAACAAACATGCCTTTGTTCAAACATTAAAATGATTCTATCGAAATCATTAAAATAATCCCTTTTGACATATTTTAACGTGTTCATATTGAGTATTGCTATATTCCAATAGAAGGAAGTAAGTCTTCATATTAAGTTCTCATCCGTAGAAACATATGTAATGACATCAATATCAATTTACTTTGCAAGTTTCGTTAGTTATGTTCATCCGTTGGGCCAAAAATGTTCATCCTTTTCCTTACGAAACGTCAAGTAACACGTGTGTGTGTGTGTGTGTGTGATAATGTCAATTAGATCCGTCCTGACACAGGTAACAAAGATGTTTTGTAAACACGTATCCACGTATACATAGTTTAAATGTCAGGTAACTTGCAGGGACAGGGTCATTACTGGTATCATCAGGAATCTTGCATCCTCTAACATCCACCCTTTACATATGTTACATTTGACCACTTTCTAAATGGCATTGTGTATTTCATACCCTTTATATTGATAAAATATAATAAAAATATTTAATGCCAAAATATATCTCTTCTAGGAAAGTTTAAATGCCACTTTAATTACTGTAATATTGAAGCACCAAGGCTCCGACCTACAACCGTTTGTGTCGCTGGACTAGATATTTCACAAAGGCATCCAATCGATGGCGCCGGGTACCCAGCGTTTACCTCGCACCCCGTGGACCTACCCCATCACATCGGCTTGAATACATGGTAATTACTCACAGACATATTTCCCGAAATATACAATACATTTTGTATCACAACTGTTTCAAGACCTTACCTTGTATATAGAATAATAGGAATGTTATGATCCAAGATGTCACCATTTTGTTCCTGTGCAAAATGTCCGTCAGTGCCGGAAGTGACGGAGATCGCTGTGTTGGCTATAGAAGATACCATCGTTGCGTGGCAACAAATAAACACGCCACGGTTTACAATCGATGACAAAATTATACGTCTCCGTGCCTGAAGGGAGGCGAAATCCATATCCCTTGAGTGTGTTGCCTGCTCTAACGCTGGTGCCAATACTCTCTATTGTTTAGGAAGATTCCTGGTACTAAAGTCAATAAATGGTTTGTTTCGCACACGGTTAATATAACCAGCCTGTATGTATCGCACAATGACCGACGACATATAAGATACAAAGGCTTGATAGATGAAATGTTTGAGACAGGACGTGTGCTTTAATAATTAATTCAGTTGCGAGCATGGCCGCATATATTACAGTGACGAAATGTGCTGAAAGGTGTTTGGTCTTAAATATCGGAATTGTAAACTGTTTAACATTGAAAAACTTCTTCCATAAAACTTGTCTTATTTCTTTATTCTTTCTTTCTTTTTTGTGTATTCTCCAATTTCGATTTTTCTTTTTTTTCTTGATTAACCTTTTGGTTCAACACAGAGCACAAAAGTGAAGTCAAATCCTAGATTTCGATTCCTTCATGGTTGATTCGGTTTACACAGCCGAAAATTGCTGTACAAAGTCATCTTCCTTGATTCTACCAGGATTCGTTTACCGTGGGTTCGAATCCAAGATCGCCCTGATTGGAATACTTGTTTTGTCAGCAGTGTCTCATTCGTGACCCACTCGTGGTATTCCGGGAGGTTACGGAAAGCTGGTGCACGTGTCCGCTAAACTGGTAAATGTCAACGATCTGGGTTTCTTCCAGCTTTCTCCTACACTTAAATGACACGCTGTGATATAACTGCAGTCTCATTTCTGTGGCGTCAAATGTAACCTAACTGATGGTTACGGGGTAGCCTAGTGGTTAAAGCGTTCGCTTGTCATGCAGAAAGCCAGGACTCATTCTCCACATGGGTACAATGTGTGAAGCCCATTTCTGGAGTCATGATATTGCTGGAACTCACTCACTCACTCATTCCTTCTATCTTAACACTTCCCTCATTATTACCTGTATTTATAATGGGGAGGAGGGGCAGCCGTGAAAGCGTCAGCTCGTCACGCTGAAGACCCGGGATCGATTCCCCACAAGGATACAATGTGTGAAGTCCATTTCCTCCGCCGTGATATTGTTGTCCCCCGCCGTGATATTGTTGGAATATTGTTAAAAGCGGCGTAAAACCATACTCATTCACTCACTCTTTTGAGAAGAATCTGTTGAAACTGTTGGCTAAGACGATCCTACCATCCTGCTCCTATGACAACACTCTAGACAGCCAATACGTTCAGTGATTTCTTCACCAGTAAATCCTGCTTCTACCAAACTATAGTCCGTTTGGCTCAAAAGCGGACCGATGAATTGCAATCTAACTCGAAAACTAATAAACGTATAGGCTGTCCCTTTCTCTGCACTCCTCCCTCGTAACAAATAGTGAACTGTCAAAATTTTAATGATACTTTGTTTAACAACTTTTTTTATATTTTTAGGACACACATTCTGCAAAAAAATGTTGGTTTGATGTTTTGATTATGATCAGCGTTTCATTGAGTATTATATGTTTATTAGTTTTCCAGTTAGATTCCAATTCATCGGTCCGCTTTTGAGCCAAACGGACTATAGGAACCTTGGAGCCATAGATCATACATAACAGAGCACTGGTGGAAAAAAAAAAGGTGCAATTCCTTATAACATCTCGTCTGGCCTACGGAAATACCATCCTGTGTGGACTGCCCCAGTCTCTCATATCTCGCCTTCAAAGAGTGCAGAACAGTGCGGGACTGTAACAAGGTCCTGGAAGCGTGACCACATCACTCCAATTCTGATGGACTTACATTGGTTGCCTGTGCACCTCCGATGTCAGCACAAGGTGCTCACGTATGCTCACAAGGCGCTGCATGACACAGCTCTGTGTTACCTCCAGGAGCTCATAACCCCATACCGACCGACACGATCCGTCCGGTCAGAAACAGCTTCACTCATCACTGTACCAAATACAAGAACTGTGAAATATGGTGACAGATGCTTTTGCAAGATAGCAGCAACTCTCTGGAGCAATCTGCCACAATCAGAGACTCTAATCTATTTATATAAGAATGCTTATACCCCTCGGCAATAGAAATATACAAATTTTGCATGTTATTATATAACTTGGACAAACACTAGGTTAACGTGTTCTGACAGATGTTCCTGTTTCTCAGTTGTGTTGTGTCAAGGTCGCACTAAGAGGTCACAATCTACTGACTTCCTCTATTCCAAGAGTTATATCAGTGTGAAGTACGTGTTGGGGGGTCATGGACTGAGTTTAGTTTTACGCCGCTGTTAGCAATATTCCAGCAATATCACGGCGGGGGACACCAGAAATGGGCTTCACACATTGTGCCCATGTGGGGAATCGAACCCGGGTCTTCGGCGTGACGAGCCAACGCTTTAACCACTAGGCTACTCCTCCGCCCCTGGGGGGTCATGGAACATCATGCATTATTCCTTTAATAAAATGATGCCACAAACTACTCTTCATCGTCTGTATTGTTACCTGGATGAGAGCAGTGTGAGACACATCTCTTTTCATAATAATGCACACACTACTTCCATAGTGGGAATTTAACAAGTATTCAACATGTTTTAAATTTAGTTGAGTATCAAACAATGGAATGGAAAGGTATGCGTTTAAACTGTTAGTGAATAAATATGTGGACAAATATTTTCCAAAGAAGCCGATATGGAGTGTCATAGCTGGGATGTACCGACCATCTGACAAGAATGAAGGGGCGGTAAAATCACTGGACAATGAAGAGTCTTGTTTTTCAACCCTGTGACACATGCGTCCGCAGGATCATTATCATCCTTGGTATTGCATCTCTGTTCTACCCGTGATGATCCAGGGCCTAGAGTTTCGAAGCTCTCTTAGCGCTAAGATAGTCGTAAGTGCCTTACATTAACATTAACTTACGACTATCTTAGCGCTAAGAGAGCTTCGAAAATCTAGGCCCAGGTTATGATTGGTATAAGTTATCCATGTTTGTCGTAAGATGAGACCAACGAGATTAGATGATCAGGCTCGCTGACTTGGTTGACATATGCCATCGTATCCCAATTACGTGTATCGATGCTCATGCTGTTGATCACTGGGTTGCCTGGTCCAGACTCGATTAGTTACAGACCGCCGTCATATAGCCTGAATATTGCGAATATTGCCAAATGCGGCGCTAAAAACACATACAAAAAACATATTGATTCAATTATGATAAATACACTAGAACATTGGCCACCAAACCTTCTTTTCGGATGTGAATCGGACACAAAACGAAGCTGTGGTTACGAATGGGTACAGGGTATTTATCACATCGGCTAATCGAGGATGGCACTCAGTTAGACCACGACAAAATCAATGAATACTTGTGTCCTGAGAAAACGTTTAAATTCTTTCGTGAACATGACTTCATAAAAAATGAAACAATCCTTCTTTTACGAGTCGACTTCCAAATTGAAACAATAAGTGGACCCAGAAAACTGTACGGAAAGGAATTCACTTTACAAAATGTACCAAAAACATGTTACACAATGGACAATGGTATAACATCATCATAGTATTATCAATTATTGCCAAGTATTACAATGGTTGTACAGAATAGGATGGCAGTATATAATTCAGTGGCACTGTAGAGTTTCAAATGGCAGTATAAAATACAATAGTAGGTATGATAGCAATAAACTTTAAAGTGACTATCTGGCCATCACTTAATACACTTCTAATTGATTCGACTATTACGGGTTGAGAGCTGACAAACTTTTTATAATCATATCCGATGCCGGACCGTGAATATCGGACAAATCGGAAAAAGTGGTTCTTTTTCGAGACTGAGAAATCGGATCTGTCACCCTGAATGTAGCCTGTCATACAGACCCTGAAACTAAACTATCCAAGAAAGCCAGGTCTAGAATACGTGACAAGTCTTACATTTCCACAGTTTCTGAAAATGAAGAAATTTAAAGTCTCAGGACTCCTTTTCGTTAGATTTTTTTTCATTATGAACATTTTTTTCTGTAAAATATGTTCATTTCAGAGACTAGTTGTTAGTCTACCCTGAATGCTTCTCGCGCTCATACTGTAAGCAGGTTTGCTTGATCTTGGGCGCTTGCGCTTCTCGTTGCTCTAAGGCGATTGCAGTCTCAATAAGGCGAGGGGCTGGGTACCAGTCTACCACAGACTATACAGAAGGATTTGGACCTATTTTAACCACTTAGGCAAGATTAGGTATTTTTTAACATATCTTATTGATATGAATGTCTTCTTTCTACGCTGAAAGACACGAAACATCTTAAGACATCTGGTTTGTTTTCTTAGCGGTGTTCAAAGGGAGGTAACCAAGCCAATCCACCTTGCTTATGTCCCTTTGTTTTCCCGACACGGCGGAAAAGATTGTGTTTGTTGAGAAATTGCACATGCTGTAGGTATTTAATTGTTTGTCGCCATGCCGCTTCCAGCTGCTCTCGCGGCGAGGCTCGCAAAACGAGGGATTGTAAAGGAAGTGGCAAAGAAGCCTGAACCTAAACTACCAGGTGAGTGAATATATTGTGACCTGAAGGCAAATTAGCAATGTGAACGTTGTGTGCTTCATTGAGCGAGTGTGTGTGTGTGTGTGTGAGTGTGTGTGTGTGTGTGAGAGAGAGAGAGAGAGAATGAGAGAATTATCCCTCACCTTGTGCATCTTGTATACAATGTTAATTGGAACATATGTTCATTTGTTTGTTCAACAGAGGAGGTTGAGGAGGTGTTTGCTGAGGATTATGACGAGCCAGCTAAACCAGAGCCTGAAGATCCGGCGTTGCCAACAAAAGCAGTTGAAGACTATGCTCAGCCTGGAGTGCTCCCCTTGAGTTCAGAACCCTTACTGTATGAGGCTGTAGCGTGTCCAAACAAATCCAACCCCTACCATCAGTGTGAAGCCTACTGCAGGTATGTACCATCAGTGTGAAGCCTACTGCAGGTATGTAACATCGGAGTGAAGCCTACTGCATGTATGTACCATCCGTGTGAAGCCTAGTGTAGGTATGTGCCATCAGAGTGAAGCCTACTGCAGGTATGTACCATCAGTTTGAAGCCTACTGCAGGTATGTACCATCAGTGTGAAGCCTAGTGTAGGTATGTGCCATCAGAGTGAAGCCTACTGCAGGTATGTAACATCAGTGTGAAGCCTACTGCATGTATGTACCATCCATGTGAAGCCTACTGCAGGTATGTACCATCAGTGCGAAGCCTACTGTAGGTATGTACCATCAGTGTGAAGCCTACTGCAGCTATGTACCATCAGTGTGAAGCCTACTGCAGGTATGTACCATCAGTGTGAAGCCTACTGCAGTAATTGGTAATGTGTACCTACATTACTGTTCTTTGGTTTAGCAATAAGGCTGTCAGAATGCATAAACAGATGTACATTTGACAGAAATGCCTACCCTGTCCATGCTGTCGCCACAATTTAAACATACAACAATAGAAATGGTATCATGCATTGTTCAGATCTGTTTTTACCAGCAGGTCAGCAGATTTATTCACAAAATTCTTAGAATCTGGACTTTAAAGATATGTTCATTGAGAGTTCTTGAGTTAGCTGATCAGGTATGTGTTTCAACCGACAATGTATTTCTTCCCACAGAAAAAGATATGGCTTGAGAGAGTTCAAGACAGACCCGGTCATGCTGAAGCGAAGAGAGCGACATCTACGTAAATACCCACTTCCCGAAGGCTGGCAGGAAGTTGCTGATCCTAACACGTATGTTGTTATCATCTTCTTATCAAAGCAACAGTACACTGTTTTGTTTATTTAATCAACGTAGCAACTTTTACAGTAATTAAACAAGTTTTAGGGTGAGTTGCTGCTGTTTGTTGTGTGTTTCAGTTTGGTGCTACTACTGTGTCATGCCTAAATATCGGTAGATCTCTTGCTCTTGCTCGGGAAGTACCAACATATAGGCACTCGTATTGTAAACATAGTATGACATGGGCACTCATATAATCATTCTCTTCCCACAGAGGTTACTTGTCATATCTTCCTACGAACGTCTGTTCTAATACGGCCATGTTTTCCTGGTACTCGTAAAATTCCCTAGCGGCAAAAAATCATAACATAAATTATCTCCCTTCTGTCTATCCAATCAGAACACGTGTTACATCGACTTAGATCCAACTTGACTAATACAAGCAAATGTGGGGCCACAAACATCCCTCCTCTGCCGGGGACTTGTGTTGATGTGACACACAAGACATTTAATGGCTAGCTTGTCCGTTGTCAACGACGGCGATGGAGACGCCATTGCATGACTGAGTTCTCTCTAGAAGAAACGTTTGCACATTGCGCAGGGAAAGAGGTTCTAGTTTTTCTGAAGCATACGAAATTACCGAGGCCATGCGAATGATCACTTTTGAAACAACGTCGCTGATTGCACAACTAAATCTGATTGCAACCAATCACGAATCCTGAACACTCGCACCATGAAAGGGCCGTATTAGAACATAGGTTCGTAGGAAGATATTACAAGTAACCTCTGTGGGAAGAGAATATCATATAATATCCCCTATGTCTGTTTCAGGGGCCGCTACTACTACTGGAACCTGGTGACGGACCAGGTAGCCTGGCTGTCCCCTTCTCACCCCAAGGCCCAGATCACACTTCCAGCTGAAAAACTGCAAGGTATCTACTACACAGCTGTCTAGATATTTAGATTTTACAATAACTGAACATTAAGAGATGACTTAAAGCATGATAAGATTGTTCAATCCTCCATCCATACTGTCTGTTGAGATCTACCCAAATCAGACTCATTGTGTTATGCTGGGTTTTGATGACAGTGTGTGATGTGTGTTATAGCCGTGTTGGGGAAGGTCGGTGGAATGCTGGACATGGACGAGCACAGTGATGAAGAGGATATGGACACCGGCAAGGGGATGGTGAGTAGTCAGTGGTAACCTTATGGGCCGAGACCTCCTTCCAAAATGAGACACACTGACCTTGGCGTGTTGCCAAAGTAAGACTCATGGACCGGGGCCTCCTTCCACAGTGAAACTCTTGGGGCGGGGCCTCCTTCCAAAATGTGACACATTGACCTTGGCGTGTTGCCAAAGTAAGACTTATGGACTGGGGCCTCCTTCCACAGTGAGACTCATTGACTGGGGCCTCCTTCCACAGTGAGACTCATTTTCTGGGGCCTCCTTCCAAAGTGAGACTCATTTTCTGGGGCCTCCTTCCACAGTGAGACTCATGGACTGGGGTCTCCTTCCACAGGGAGACTCATGGACTGGGGCCTCCTTCCACAGTGAGACTCATTTTCTGGGGCCTCCTTCCACAGTGAGACTCATGGACTGGGGTCTCCTTCCACAGTGAGACTCATGGACCGGGGCCTCCTTCCAAAGTGAGACTCATGGACTGGGGTCTCCTTCCACAGTGAGACTCATGGACTGGGGCCTCCTTCCAAAGTGAGACTCATATGGACTGGGATCTCCTTCCACAGTGAGACTCATGGACCGGGGCCTCCTTCCAAAGTGAGACTCATGGACTGGGGTCTCCTTCCACAGTGAGACTCATTTTCTGGGGTCTCCTTCCACAGTGAGACTCATTTTCTGGGGCCTCCTTCCATTGAGACTCATGGACTGGGGCCTCCTTCCAAAGTGAGACTCATGGACTGGGGTCTCCTTCCACAGTGAGACTCATGGACTGGGGTCCTCCTTCCACAGTGAGACTCATGGACTGGGGCCTCCTTCCACAGTGAGACTCATGGACGGGGCCTTCCACAGTTCCACAGTGAGACTCATGGACTCATGGGGGGCCTCCTTCCAAAGTGAGACTCATATGGACTGGGATCTCCTTCCACAGTGAGACTCATGGACTGGGGCCTCCTTCTACAGTGAGACTCATGGACTGGGGCCTCCTTCCACAGTGAGACTCATGGACTGGGGCCTCCTTCCACAGTGAGACTCATGGACTGGGGCCTCCTTCCAAAGTGAGACTCATGGACTATTGTCTCCTTCCACAGTGAGACTCATTTTCTGGGGCCTCCTTCCACAGTGAGACTCATGGACCGGGGCCTCCTTCCAAAGTGAGACTCATGGACTGGGGTCTCCTTCCACAGTGAGACTCATGGACTGGGGCCTCCTTCTACAGTGAGACTCATGGACTGGGGCCTCCTTCTACAGTGAGACTCATGGACTGGGGCCTCCTTCCACAGTGAGACTCATGGACTGGGGCCTCCTTCCACAGTGAGACTCATGGACTATTGTCTCCTTCCACAGTGAGACTCATTTTCTGGGGCCTCCTTCCACAGTGAGACTCATGGACCGGGGCCTCCTTCCAAAGTGAGACTCATGGACTGGGGTCTCCTTCCACAGTGAGACTCATTTTCTGGGGTCTCCTTCCACAGTGAGACTCATGGACTGGGGCCTCCTTCCACAGTGAGACTCATGGACTGGGGCCTCCTTCCAAAGTGAGACTCATGGACTGGGGCCTCCTTCCACAGTGAGACTCATGGACTGGGGCCTCCTTCCACAGTGAGACTCATGGACTGGGGCCTCCTTCCACAGTGAGACTCATGGACTGGGGCCTCCTTCCACAGTGAGACTCATGGACGGGGGTCTCCTTCCACAGTGAGACTCATGGACTGGGGCCTCCTTCCACAGTGAGACTCATTTTCTGGGGCCTCCTTCCACAGTGAGACTCATGGACGGGGGGATCCTTCCACAGTGAGACTCATGGACTAGGGCCTCCTTCCACAGTGAGACTCATGGACTGGGGCCTCCTTCCACAGTGAGACTCATGGACCGGGGCCTCCTTCCAAAGTGAGACTCATATGGACTGGGATCTCCTTCCACAGTGAGACTCATGGACTGGGGCCTCCTTCTACAGTGAGACTCATGGACTGGGGCCTCCTTCCACAGTGAGACTCATGGACTATTGTCTCCTTCCACAGTGAGACTCATTTTCTGGGCCTCCTTCCACAGTGAGACTCATGGACCGGGGCCTCCTTCCAAAGTGAGACTCATGGACTGGGGTCTCCTTCCACAGTGAGACTCATGGACTGGGGTCTCCTTCCACAGTGAGACTCATGGACTGGGGCCTCCTTCCACAGTGAGACTCATGGACTGGGGCCTCCTTCCACAGTGAGACTCATGGACTGGGGCCTCCTTCCACAGTGAGACTCATGGACCGGGGCCTCCTTCCAAAGTGAGACTCATGGACTGGGATCTCCTTCCACAGTGAGACTCATGGACTGGGGCCTCCTTCTACAGTGAGACTCATGGACCGTGAGACTCATGGACCCTCCTTCCACAGTGAGACTCATGGACTGGGGCCTCCTTCCACAGTGAGACTCATGGACTATTGTCTCCTTCCACTTTGAGACTCATTTTCTGGGGCCTCCTTCCACAGTGAGACTCATGGACCGGGGCCTCCTTCCAAAGTGAGACTCATGGACTGGGATCTCCTTCCACAGTGAGACTCATGGACTGGGGTCTCCTTCCACAGTGAGACTCATTTTCTGGGGTCTCCTTCCACAGTGAGACTCATGGACTGGGGCCTCCTTCCACAGTGAGACTCATGGACTGGGGCCTCCTTCCACAGTGAGACTCATGGACTGGGGCCTCCTTCCAAAGTGAGACTCATGGACTGGGGCCTCCTTCCAAAGTGAGACTCATGGACTTGGGCCTCCTTACACAGTGAGACTCATGGACTGGGGCCTCCTTCCAAAGTGAGACTCATGGACTTGGGCCTCCTTACACAGTGAGACTCATTTTCTGGGGCCTCCTTCCACAGTGAGACTCATGGACTGGGGGATCCTTCCACAGTGAGACTTATGGATCGAGGCCTCCTTCCACAATGAAACTCATGGACCAGGAAGTGGAGCAGAAGCCTCCTTCTACAATCAGATCTTCCCAGATCTGTGGGACTCCTTAGACATTCAACTGATTAGATGGCTTTGTTTCATGGAGGATTTGCTAAATATTCTTAGCTTGACTTGTCTAATGTTCTGTTCATGGTTTGAATGTATAAACTATTTACAAAATATGAAATGCTCCAGCCAACAGTGCCCCATAAAAGTGTTCCTTTAGTGATACCCCTGAGCTTATTTGGGACTTTCTTGCAGAGTGATGACAGCAGTTCGGAGGAGGAGGAGGAAGTAGAGCAGAGACGACGTCGTGATAGGCGACATGACAGGGACCGCGACTGGGACCGTGACAGGGACCGAGATAGAGACCGGGATCGAGACAGGAGGCGGCGAGATGATAGAAAGGGTGAGTGCACTTGATGAGCATGATGTTGTGATTGGCATCATGTTGAAACAGGTTGTTCATTATGTCATAGTTGGCGTAGTGTAGACACCACTATTGTTCATGATTCAGATGGTTGTGTTATGTTGACATCAGTTGTTCATGACCTAGTCATGGGTATTTTGTTGAAACCAATTGTTCATGATGCAGTCAGTATTTTGTTGAAACCAATTGTTCATGTGCAGTCGGTATTTTGTTGAAACCAATTGTTCATGATGCAGTCGGTATTTTGTTGAAACCAATTTTCATGATTACGTTCTTGGCATTATGTTGAAACCAATTGTTCATATTGTTCATGATGCAGTCGGTATTTGTTGAAACCAATTGTTCATGATTCAGAGGGGCGGTGGGGTAGCCTAGTGGTTAAGGCATTCGCTAGTCACGCCAAAACTCCTGGTTCGATTTTCCCACATGGGCACAATATGTGAAGCCCATTTCTGGTGTCACCAGCCATGATATTGCTGAAATATTGCTAAAAGTGGCATAAAACCATTCTTACTCTATCTTAAGCTTCCACTAATTTTGACATGCAGATAAATAAACATGACAATCAAATGTATATGTAACTGTATTTTCAGGTCGAGGAAGAGATGGCCTTGACCCAATGGATCCCGCTTCATATTCAGACATTCCTCGGTAAGGAGAACACAGTAATTCATATGTAGATGGGCACAGTGGAAAAGCCAAGTGGTTAATGTAGTTGTTTGTCACGCCAAACGCCCAGGTTCGATTCAACATATATGGGCACAGTATGTGAAGTGCAAGCCTGATATCCCCCTCAGTGATATTGTAGTAATATTGGCTAAAGTTGTAAACCAGAGCCACACATGTACAGACGTAGAAAGGATTTAAAAGGGTTCTCTGTACACCTTTTCAAAATTGATATTTACACTGAACCAACTAAACATTATTAATCAAATGATTAGTTTTTCTGTGAAATGATCTATCTTGATTTCTTTTTGTAATTTTGGTTGCCATTGTTTTTTTATGAATTTTTTATCAGTCCATGTGATAATTTCTAAGATTGAGGGGTAAATGACAAAGTTATTCCACTGGTACTGATCACTAGGGATGGGTATTGCAGAGAATATTCATATTGCGATATATTGCGATGCGAAAGCATATATTGCGATATGCATTGCAATATATTGAATGAAGTATTTTTAAACAAAAAACTACTTATAATCGAGTTACTGCTTGATTTATAGAGCAAAAACACAACAAAATCACTATGCTTGATTAAGCTTTAATAACAAATTTTAATCATGATAAAATAAAAATGTGAATAATATTTGGCAAAAACGAAACAAGGAAATATCTGTAGATTTCCGAGTGTTACGACGTTTTCCGAATGCATGTCAAAATACCGGTTTTCGATCAGCGTATCGCATTACGTATCGTTTTCATGTCTGAACCGGTAAATACCGGTAAACCGGTTATATTACGCAGCCCTACTGATCACATTAGAATGAAGTTCACAGTTAATGGCAATCAGACATTGCATGGTAACAAAAGGAGACAACAATTAGACTTGTTTAGATAGAGTGAGGTGATATCTGCCTTCAGATAAATAATTTTTGAACCTGTAGCGCCATATAGTTGTAATTTTGGGGAGTGCTGCATTAAACAACAAACCATAACAACCTGTATTTCCAACTGTCCTTGATGGGATGTCATAGTGAGTTATCTCCCTTGTTCATTTACAAATGATGACACAGCAATATTTTAAAGCAACCCCTGTGGGCATGATCATCAGCATCACTGTCAGGACTCGGCTAGTGATGATGCTCACATCAACCACTAATCCGCTACTTATGTCATTGTATCTACTATCTAGATGTGGAATGATTATTCACTGCATCGTAGGAGATGACTCACAAGTTTGATCATTTACCTGTAATACATTTGTGGAAATATGGACTAGTTTTTGGTTTGCTCCTTGTATCCACCTTTTTATCATATCGAATATAAGGTGTGCGATTAACCATTAAGCTTGAATTTCTTGTGAATGCAAACGCGGGGACACATCGCGTCAACATTAGGCATAATTGTCAGAGTGCCATTGTACAAAACAACCTCAGTGTTACAATGTTCTAAGTCTATGTTAAGGTGTGACCTTGGGAATTCTAATCACAAGAGTGCTAAGATTACTTTGTGCAGTGGCGCCCAGCACATTGAGTATGAGGTGTAATGATGGGACTACAGTTCCTCTTTTACTGAATTATAGCCCCTTCATCCTTTGTCATGTGGACTCACATGAACATCCAGGTTAGAACTGGGCCCTGTTCCTCAAAGCGATCGTAGCGCTACGACTGTCGTAAGTCTATGTTAAAGTATGGGAGTTACGATCATCTTAGCGCTACGATCATTTTGAGGAACAGGGCCCTGGTCTTCAGCAAAGGATGCTAGTTGTAAGAGGCAACTAACAGGATCAGGTGGTCAGGCTCGCTGACTTGGTTGACACATGTCATCGTATCCCAGTTCTATATATCGATGCTCATTCTGTTGATCACTGGATTGTCGGGTCCAGACTTGATTAGTTTCAGACCACAACCATATAGCTGGAATATTGCTGAGTGCTGTGTTTAACAACAAACAAACTGGTGTATTCACCTTTGTCCATCTGTTGCAGTGGGGGCTGGTCTGACGGACTTGATCAGCGAGGTAAGGCCAAGACGGGCGTGGACGTCACAGCATCAGGACCTCTCTTCCAGCAGCGCCCCTACCCTAGCCCAGGGGATGTACTCAGAGCTAATAGGGCCATCGCTGACAAGAAGGCTGATACATGAATCTCCTAATGCATCATCTGAGGACAAAACAAGCTGAGCAGAAACATCCATCACTCTGATCATTACGACATACGACAACAGTATAGGAGGTTGTTAGAAGAAGTTTTATGTTATGTATGATGTCAATAAAATAGATGTGTACAAACTGGTTGTGGCTTTTTAACCCAAATGCTTGATTGTTGGAAAATACGACCAAACACATGATGATTACAAAGCCAGTTTATGTCACCTTGAATAGACTGATGGAATTACATAATTTTTGACAAAGTATAAATAAAATGTACGTTTTACACATAATAAAAACATATTTGAAAATTATGCATTAAACTTGTTCTGGCATTAGTAATTAGATCTCGAGAAATATTCCAAAATGCTACACTGCAACAATGTTTGTAAAGTGTTCACTTCAGGAGTATCGTCTGAAGAATAGAGTTTAAGATTTTAACTCTTACCTACCAAGCACTAAATGGAACTGCTCCACTCTATCTCCAAGCCCTTGTCTCACCCTACATCCCACTGAGGAATCTCAGATCTGCCGATCAATCACTTCTTGTTGTGCCTCCATATAAACTCAAAACTTTCGGACATAGATCCTTCAAACATTCAGCTGCTTTCCTGTGGAACTCTCTCCCTACAGACATTAAATCTGCTCCAACTCTCTCAAGTTTTAAATGTCATCTAAAGACATTTCTTTTTCTTCGCTACTGACTGTCTTGTGTTTTTGCTTAGAGCATGGCCAAGTGTTGTGGAGTCAAGCGCATTACAAATGATCTATCTATCTATCTATCTATCTATCTATCTATCTATCTATCTATCTATCTATCTATCTATCTATCTATCTATCTATCTATCTATCTATCTATCTATCTATCTATCTATCTATATATATATATATATATACTGAAAGCCATTAAAAATGCAATTTGACATTCATACTTTCTTTACTCACACTAATTTCAACATATATAAACCTAACTGGCAGATATGGTTTAAGTGAACATCTGTGAATAATTTCATCAGAAAATGTCCAGTCAACAACAACATCAGTGACGCAACAACGTAATCAAACAAAGGAGGGGTCACTTGCAGTCAATATCGTGTGTGTCCACCGTGCGCTGCAAGACATGCTCGCAGTCTTTGGGGCATTGAAAGACACACTTTTCTCAGGAACAGCTGTTGGATGGTCTGCAGCCTCTGATGGTCTGTGGTCTGATCATGACACCACCCCCTCCAAAACGATCATGTTCAAGGACACAGTTTGGCGCAAGTCTTTCTCCTTTACGTCGATAAATCTGTTGACGTCCATCTGCAAAGGATAAGTTAAACCTGGATTCATCTGAAAAATGACATCTGGCCATGTCCTGTTGCAAAGATTGGCCCCATTTGCTGCCCATCGCTGTCTGGCAAGTCTGTGGCGAGGCAATAAGGTTGGACCACGGTATCGGGTGGCGACACACCGATGTTGAAGGCAGCAAGCGCCCTTGCACCTTTGGGCGCTGAAATGACGTTGACTTGTCCCAATCGCCTCCTTGCCTAATCATCAGCTGTTTGGAACCGATTTTCGCAAGTGTGAAACTCGGATATTGCGGTTTTGTCGAGCTGTTATCACAGGTGGTGCACCAGGTCGCGGACGATCAGCAACACTTCCGGTAGCACGAAAACGTTGTCTGAGTCGACTTACAGTGGATGGATGCACATTAAAGTGCCTGGCAATCATCACATCTGAAGCACCTTGGCTGACCATACCGATAACCTGATTCCTTTCGTCTTGTGTCAAGTGTGGCATTTTCTCAAAGTGATTGAGTTCCACAATTCCTTGTGCTTTTACAGGGCCTGGGTGCAGGTAATGCATGTGCACAACGTGTTTCATGAATGTGGTTGTGTTTACGAGAAATGTCAAAGGTTTAGTTTTAAGTATCAAAGTTCATGTGAGAGGAATGCTCCGGGTCTCGAACTCGAAATGGGCCAGAATAACAGCCTTTTATCCCTACATCCTCTGTATCGCAGGAAAAAATCTTCAATAGAACTTTGTGAGTTTCAGGACAAAAAATACCAATTGCGTTTTTAATGGCTTTCAGTATATATACACGTTCATGTGTTAGATGATGAAGACAAAGCCGGAATGATGTTGCGATAGGTAATAGCTCGCCAGTTATCACATAAGAAAGTCTTCATATAATACAGTGTCCAATAAAAATGTTAATTTGTATACAACCATGCCCGTAGAATATATGTGGGTCAATAAATACGTTTGTACAGGATGACCACATGTCAAGGGGCCGATATCATTAGACATTAGATATGATCGTGTACATCCTTTGGCACATAGTAAACATGGGCCCCCAGAAAGGCCGATATCATTAGACTTAGATATGATCGTGTACATCCTTGGGCCACGTAGTAAACATGGGTCTCCTGAAAGACTGATATCATCAGACATTAGATATGAACGTGTTCATCCTTTGGCCAAGTAGTAAACCGGGGCCCCCAGAAAGACCGATGTCATTAGACATTAGATATGATCGTGTACATCCTTTGGCCACGTAGTAAACCGGGGCCCCCAGAAAGACGGATGTCATTAGACATTAGATATGATCGTGTACATCCTTTGGCACGTAGTAAATATGGGCCCCCATAAAGACTGATATCATCAGACATTAGATATGATCGTTTACATCCTTTGGCACATAGTAAACATGGGCCCCCAGAAAGACCGATATCATCAGACATGAGATATGATCGTGTACATCTTTTGGCCAAGTAGTACACCGGGGACCCTAGAAAGGCCGATGTCATGAGACATTAGATATGAACGTGTACATCCTTTGGCCAAGTAGTAAACCGGGGCCCCCAGAAAGACCGATGTCATTAGACATTAGATATGATCGTGTACATCCTTTGGCCACGTAGTAAACCGGGGCCCCCAGAAAGACTGATGTCATTAGACATTAGATATGATCGTGTACATCCTTTGGCCACGTAGTAAACATGGGCCCCAGAAAAGACCGATGTCATTAGACATTAGATATGATCGTGTACATCCTTTGGCACGTAGTAAATATATGGGCCCCATATAGAGACTGATATCATCAGACATTAGATATGATCGTTTACATCCTTTGGCACATAGTAAACATGGGCCCCCAGAAAGACTGATATCATTAGACATTAGATATGATCGTGTACATCCTTTGGCCACGTAGTAAACATGGGCCCCCAGAAAGACCGATGTCATTAGACATGAGATATGATCGTGTACATCCTTTGGCACGTAGTAAATATGGGCCCCCATAAAGACTGATATCATCAGACATTAGATATGATCGTTTACATCCTTTGGCACATAGTAAACCGGGGCCCCTAGAAAGGCCGATGTCATGAGACATTAGATATGATCGTGTACATCCTTTGGCAAATAGTAAACATGGGCCCCCAGAAAGGCCGATATCATTAGACATTAGATATGATCGTGTACATCCTTGGGCCATGTAGTAAACATGGGCCCCCAGAAAGACTGATGTCATTAGACATTAGATATGATCGTGTACATCTTTTGGCAACGTAGTAAACCGGGGCCCCCAGAAAGACCGATATCATTAGACTTAGATATGATCGTGTACATCCTTGGGCCACGTAGTAAACATGGGTCTCCTGAAAGACTGATATCATCAGACATTAGATATGAACGTGTTCATCCTTTGGCCAAGTAGTAAACCGGGGCCCCCAGAAAGACCGATGTCATTAGACATTAGATATGATCGTGTACATCCTTTGGCCACGTAGTAAACCGGGGCCCCCAGAAAGACGGATGTCATTAGACATTAGATATGATCGTGTACATCCTTTGGCACGTAGTAAATATGGGCCCCCATAAAGACTGATATCATCAGACATTAGATATGATCGTTTACATCCTTTGGCACATAGTAAACATGGGCCCCCAGAAAGACCGATATCATCAGACATGAGATATGATCGTGTACATCTTTTGGCCAAGTAGTACACCGGGGACCCTAGAAAGGCCGATGTCATGAGACATTAGATATGAACGTGTACATCCTTTGGCCAAGTAGTAAACCGGGGCCCCCAGAAAGACCGATGTCATTAGACATTAGATATGATCGTGTACATCCTTTGGCCACGTAGTAAACCGGGGCCCCCAGAAAGACTGATGTCATTAGACATTAGATATGATCGTGTACATCCTTTGGCCACGTAGTAAACATGGGCCCCCAGAAAGACCGATGTCATTAGACATTAGATATGATCGTGTACATCCTTTGGCACGTAGTAAATATGGGCCCCCATAAAGACTGATATCATCAGACATTAGATATGAGCGTTTACATCCTTTGGCACATAGTAAACATGGGCCCCCAGAAAGACCGATATCATCAGACATTAGATATGATCGTGTACATCTTTTGGCCAAGTAGTAAACCGGGGCCCCTAGAAAGGCCGATGTCATGAGACATTAGATATGATCGTGTACATCCTTTGGCCACGTAGTAAACATGGGCCCCCAGAAAGACCGATGTCATTAGACATTAGATATGATCGTGTACATCCTTTGGCCACGTAGTAAACATGGGCCCCATGAAAGACCGATGTCATTAGACATTAGATATGATCGTGTACATCCTTTGGCCACGTAGTTAACATGGGCCCCCAGAAAGACGGATGTCATTAGACAGTAGATATGATCGTGTACATCTTTTGGCCAAGTAGTAAACCGGGGCCCCTAGAAAGGCCGATGTCATTAGACATTAGATATGATCGTGTACATCCTTTGGCAACGTAGTAAACCGGGGCCCCTAGAAAGGCCGATGTCATGAGACATTAGATATGATCGTGTACATCCTTTGGCAACGTAGTAAACCGGGGCCCCTAGAAAGGCCGATGTCATTAGACATTAGATGTGATCGTGTACATCCTTTGGCAACGTAGTAAACAAGGGCCCCCAGAAAGAAAGTTTTGGAAAGCTGTCACTTTTATAAAACAGCTAACAGAAACAGAAAAATTGGATTCAAGAATAATGTTATGTTGTGCCACAGTCGATTGCCTGACTTCCGTTCTGATTATTATGAATGAGTGAGTGAGAGAGTTTGGTGTTACGCCGCTTTTAGCAATATTCCCGCAATATCA